CCCCTCCGCCCCGACCTTTTTTTCCGGCACGTCACCGCCCCACCAGCATTCCGCGCGCCCTCTCCACATCACCCCGACCACCAGCCAGCGCGCCCCCTCCGCCCCGACCGCTTACGGAACGGCACCGCCCCCCCGTCCCGAGCGCCCTATCTGCATCACCCCACGCACCCGTCAGCGCGCCCCCTCCGCCCCGCCTTGATTTCGGCATTGCACCGCTCCCCCTCCCATCCCGCGCGCCCGCTCCGCATCCCCCCACCCACCAGCCATAGCGCCCCCTCCGCCACAGCTCCTTTCTTATCTTGCGCAGTTGTGATCTAGAGCTCGGACCTCTTCGTTTTCGTTCGTTCGTTGTCCCTCTGGTCCTGGCCCTGGACCCAACCTCCCCCCCTGGTCCTGGCCCGGCCCCTCCTCGCTCCGCTGGCCCTGGACCTGGACCCACCCTCCTCCCCTGGCCCTGGCCCCAGCCCCCCTCGCGCGTTCGTCGTTTCGTCGTCGTCCCCCGGGTCCCAGCCTTGGACCAGGCATCCCCCCTTGGTCCTAGCCCCAGCCCCCGTCGTCGTCCCCCTGGTCCAGCCTGGCACTAGGCCCAACCTCCCTCCCTGGCTTTGTCCCTAGCCCCCCTCAGGCGCCCCGCTAGCCCCAGCCATGGACCCTGGACCCAGCCTCCTCACCTGGCCCTGGCCCCAGCCCCCCTCGAGCCGGACCCTATATTTCCGCTCGTCGTTGTCCCCGTGGTCCTGGCCCTCGAGCCAGCCTCCCACCCTGGTCCTAGCCCCAGTCCCCCTCGTCGTCGCCACCCTGGACCCAGCCTCCAGGGCCCCAGCCGCCCTCGCCCTGGACCCTTTATTTTCGCTCGTGGTCGCACGCCTGGCCTTGGCCATGGACCCAGCCTCCTCCCCTGGCCCTGGCCCCAGCCCCCTCGCGCCGGACCCTTCATTTTCACTCGTCGTCGCCCCCCTGGTCCTGGTCCTGGCCCTGCATGGAACCAGCCTCCCCCCCTGGGCCCCAGCCCCCCTCGCCCCCCTGGTCCTGGCACTGGACCCAGCCTGCCCCCGTGGTCCTGGCCCCAGCCCCAGTCGCCCGCTGGCCCTGTCCCTGGACCCAGCCCCACCCCCCTGGCCCAGCCTCGAAAAATCGATTGCGCCTCAGCTGTCAAAAAAAACTCATTCGAGCAGGTCCCAATCGACAAACGCTGATTCAGCACCAGGGCGCCCTG